TTTTGCTCGACCGAGTTACCCGCTTCCTCAGCCGACTCAACAACTTGTTGCTCCGCCACAGAAACCTCAATCCCTTCCGCTGTAACTCTTTCATCCGACAAATTAACCGCATCCTCCATTTTTTCCATCACATCATCCACTGTCGCATCCTCCACCAATTCAGCTTTCTCCCCTTCCATGCGGCCGTCCTCTCCATCACCACCTTCCTTATTACCATCAACCGGAGACGAACCTTTTATTTCAACGCCAGCACCAGTCTCATGCTTCTCCTCCCCGACGATCAAATCCCCGCCGCCCTTTTCATCACCAACAGCCACCTCCACATCAATTCCCTTCCCCTCACCTTCCTCTTCCTTTCCAGCAACAGGAGACGCAGCTGACGTAGCAGACTCGAGCTCGGAACGTAACTCAGTGCTTTGATTCTGTAACTCGGAGTCCGTAGCTGTAGTCACCGGGGCATCGTCCAATTGAACAGAGGAATCGACATTGGGGACGTGGTGAGGCTCTTCTTCCTCGGTATCCATACAAGGAAAAATAAAATCAAATGATTTGCAAAATTAAAAAGCGAGTGAAACCCTAGAGATTGAAAGCCCTAGGGTTTTGAATTCTGGGTAAATCCGGGCGTCGTTTTATCGTCTATTGATTTTTTTTTAAATATTTTAATTTTGCGAAATGAAAAGAAAGGGAGAGAGGGAGACGGTGTCGCCGTTCGCAGAGATGAAATGAAAACACTAGTAGAAACGAGCTAGCGAATATTTTTATTTTATTGTCCTAAAGTGAAATGACGTAATGACGAATCTGTCCTCACGGGCCTTTGATAATTCAATTCAATCCATCATCCCAATAAGGTTTTCCATTTGAATTTGGGACTTTCAATGGGTCATGATTGCTGAGTCATTGGCTTTTTTCTCTTATGAAAATCCATCAGTCTTGTAGTTTTGATATAACCATCGATATTCGATTTATAAATCAATTAATTCGGATTAAATATTATAAAGATTCATTAAAAACGATTTTTTTAACTTAGTTTATTCAATTTATAATGTTAGGATTTGAACCTCAACCTTATTTAAACTACTTAACGCATTGTTCCATTTAATGAACTAATAAATAGTTATATATTTAACTATATTAAAAACAATCTATATTAAACGTACATTAAATTATACTATATATATTCATAATCAAACCGATCCACTTAATTTATATTAATCACTTATAAAACTAAATTAATCATCATAACCAACTAGGTTGAATTGACTAGAACAAAAACTATATGGATTAAGTGAGTTTGAACAGACTTTTGTTCTTATATTTATAAAATGTGGATTTAGGTAGTGAAAAAATTTCTTGTATTTTTCAGTGTAATTGATTTTTCGAAAAATAAATTATAGTTTTTAGAAAACTGATTTCGGAAAGTATCTCTGAAGCTTGTATATTATTGTGTAATTTATTTTCCGTTATTTGATAAATTTCTCTAAAATTATTTTAAAATATATTTTTAGTGAAACAAACACATTACAATCTTTTTTTTATTGAATTAATTTCATTATTATTAAATTTTAATATCACTCATAATTTTTTTATAATTATAGGTAATATAAATAATTAATGTCGGTTGTGTTACAAATACATTGTTCTTCAAACTATTCAAAAAATACATTGTTCTTAATAATTACGAAGCTATTTATATTTTGTTAACAAATTATATAACTTTTCAAAAAAAATATTAATTTATTTTCAAGTTAGTACTTAAACTATTAATTTTATTCCATTTTGGTATTTAAACTTTATTTATTTTCAAAATCATACCTAACATTTAGTTTAAGTTTTATTTTTATACTTGTCGTTAAAAACATAATTGCGATGTTGACGTGTCATCATTATCTTGTCATCGTTTAAAAAAAATTAAATGGAAAATTAACAGTTCTGTTAATTTTTTAATAGCAGAGTACCAAATTGAATCTCAAACTAAATGTTATTTATGGTTTTAAAAAATAGTTTGGGTATAAAATAGAACAAAAGTAATAGTTTATGTACTAAATATAAATTTACCCTAAATTTTACTGCATGGAAAAGAATCGGTCATTACTCATTTCAATCCACTTCAAAAGGAAAAATAAAAAGGATAAATCAACAAGCACGGAGTCCTAATTTCAACAACCAGATGAATTCCTGCTTCGATTTTATTTCCTTCTTATTAGGTACTTAAGATAATCCAAGAGGAGCCGTATGCAATGTGGAACCAACAAGTCAATAATCACTATCATTAATAAATTTGAATAATTATAATACTAAAATCAGTATTAATTACCCTTAATTTGGTAGAATAATGAATTAAATATTATCTAAATAATATTCCTTAATATTATAAATATTATAAAATATAATAAATTTAGTTGAAAAAATCATCTCATAATACATTTTATTGTATCTTATCAGTAAAATTAAATTTATATATTTTCTCTACTTAGTATTATATAATTTTGTGTGCGTTCGAACACATCGATTAATGACATTAACTTTATCAAATAGTTTACATATAACTTAAATTGAAACAATGTATAGCAATTTTTTTTAATGGAAAACTAATTTATACATGTTTTTTTAATTAAAAATACATAAGGTTTCTTGGCTACTTTTTATTTTATTTTTTAATATATTTAACTTTTTTTTTCATTTTATTGGCCAATTATGCACAAATAAATGGGTAAAAATAGGGGATTTGGCACTTCTAAATTAATAAATAAATCTTATGGAGGTGCTCAAACTTGAGTGCACGTTTGAAGAATGTCTTCTATGCACTAAATACTAATATTTTATTTTGTTAGTTGCAACTATGGACCTAACACACTCTCAAATTTCCACATATTAGTCATTATGGTTGAAATTGATTTTTAAAATATTTAAATAGTAGTTGCAATTTTTTTTAAGATGGAATTTGAGAAAAAATATTGGATTTAATTCTCCCATTCGTTTGTTCCATACTTCAATTCAGAATACTCTGCTTTTTTATCTCACAATCATCACATAGTGTATCATTTTCTAAAAAAAATTAAAAAAAAAAGGAAATTAATCATGTTTTTTGAAACAAAATAAAATACAATAAAATTATAGAAAGAGTCTACAAAATTAGAGTGGACTAAAACATATTAATTAATTATATTTTTGGGTCCCCTAACTCCAATATATCCACCAAATTATATATTTTTCTAATCAAATATTTCTTTCATAATCATTAAAATGTACAAATTAACAATTTAATAATAAGACAGGATTATCTAATTAAAATATTAAAAAATTAATCAAATAATTAGGAGAAAAATAGATACAAATAAGTATCAATACCGACCCTAAAAGAGAAACATCATAAAACTAACATAAAAAGACGCAATGATAAAATTATCCTCATTGATTGTATAAATGGTTACTTTACATCATATTATTTAAAAAAAAATATTTTACCCTCTAACGTTTCAATATTTGATTAAAATAGATCTTATTAGATGAAAATAATTGACTTATAGTCAACCCATGTTACTGATGTGGTAGTTAAAATTGTGTCAAATTATTTACGTGTCACGTGCTACATTATCATTTTTGCTGACGTGACATATATCATATCGTCATTTTAAGTGATATAACATATGTCACGTCATCACTTTGAGTGATATGATACATACTACATCAGCAACATGGGTTAATTGTTAGTCAACTAACAATTTTCATCAAATATGATATGTTTTGACTAAAAATTAAAACATTAAAAGTTAAAATACTAAAAAAAGAACAATGGATCAAAGTGATCATTTATATAAACATTGGGCATATTTTTGTTATTATTTCATATAAAGATACATATAACAATGATAGAATGTTAACATTCTGGTTTTATTATAATTCAATTATGATTTGTATTTTTGTAATTATGAGAGTCTATTAATAAAATATAATCGATCTATGAGTCTAAAATAATGATAGATCAACAAGATAACTAAACAAACGTAAGTGTTATAGTCAAATCAAATCAAACTTTGAGAAAATGTAAGACATACTACACTAGTAGACAAAATAATATGTTATAACAGTAGACAAAATAACATTAAATTCAGATCTGACTCTTCTCGATAGCACTAATATTTAAATAATTTTTACTATATTTTTTAGTGTTTGTTCCTTCAATCCAGTTGGATTTTTAGTAATAACTACCATAATAATGTGTTCAAATACAGAATATTTATTGTAGAAAAAAGCAATGTCTTGTTAAACTATTGTCAATAACTAGATTGCTCAACTCATCAATGCGGTGCTATGGTGGATGCAGTAAAGGCAGACAAGGACATATCAATTACAGGGATTCTAAGCTGACACGCATACTGCAGCCTTGTTTGGGTGGCAATGCCAGGACTGCAATCATATGTACTTTGAGCCCTGCACGAAGCCATGTTGAACAAACCAGGAACACTCTTCTGTTTGCTTGTCATGCAAAAGAAGTTACTACAAAAGCTCAGGTCAATGTGGTCATGTCTGATAAGGCCTTAGTTAAGCATTTACAAAGAGAGTTGGCCAGGTTAGAAAGTGAACTCAGGAGTCCCGTGCCTCCTTCCTCAAACAATGACTATGCAGCTTTACTGTCTTTCTTCAGATCGAAAAAGGTAACCGTCCCGTTTGGGAAAGTTAGAAAGGATGTCAAGGGGTCCTCTTTAATGAACAAAATTGATTTTTTATAGTATAGAAAATTTACGCAGCATATTCAACTACGCCTCTTTATCTTGTCTAGCATCATAACTAGTGAACAAGAACATGGTGAATCATGCATTACATGTTAGCTGAAATTTTAGTTTAGTACACAGATAGATACTTTTGCTTGTGGAAAATTAGGCTGCAAGCAAACTTTTGTTTTCTGATTAAGAGGCCTAAACACGCGGCAGTGTCTGACATAAAATATAGAAGGGAGGGCTTAGCCATTTACATTTTACATGTTGCCTAACGTTGATTACATGAATTTGCACTTGGAGAAGGAGGTAAGAGAGTTGACCAAGCAACGTGATCTTGCTCAATCTCGGGTCAAGGATCTGCTAGGGATGATTGGAAACGATCAAGGTTCAGGACAATCGGTTTGTGTTATTGCCTATAATATTTTTACATGTTATGCTTTTCAATGAATCTAGTTCCTAGTGGCAATATTATTCACTATTTTCTTTTTGAAATAATTATTTACAGTTCTTTCCCTTCTCTGAACAGGCAGGAATCAATTACCGTGATAAACGAGCAGGGGATTCATGGGAAGATGACTATTCAGATTCAGAGTCATCATGTTTGACTGATTCTAATCAATTTGATAAGTGTATTAGAAAATTTAATCCAGTCCATCATTATGACAGAGAGAGGAGGCATCATCACGAGCCTTCGAACAATCACGAAGATCATTCCATGACTGATGAAAACTGCAAGGAGGTTCAATGTATTGACACAGATGGAACGGGCAGGGGAAATAATGATTCTGAATCTCGTACCATACCAAATGGTGCTAGTGAAGGACAATTGGCACTGACATTAAATGGATATGTGGATGTGGTTGGTCAGGAAACAATGTCTACCCCTATGACTGGAGACAGAGAAGCGAATCATATTCAAGAAAGCCTGAAGTTTAGTAGGGGCAGGAGTTGTGGGGCAGATGTCATGGGTGTTACATCTTCATATATGGACAGAGAACATATAGAAAGCACCCCCTCTAATGGGTTTGAGAAAAGCTTTCCCAGAAGACCAGACGGTTACAAAATGAAAATTCCTTCATTAAATTATGGTGCCTATAGAGGGATGCACTCCAGGAATGATTCTCTGTCTTCTCTTGGGAGTGCTTCAATCCAAACTTCTGCCGATGAGCAAATTACTAGCATCCATAATTTTGTTGCTGGACTGAAGAAACAACTTGACAATGGTCAGGTGAGAATATGGCTATGTTTTCTCCCTTGTTGGTGGAAACTTCAATATATGCACTCGGGCATGTCTCATTTGATTTCTTTGCAAATGTGTGGTACTTTCTTCATAGGTTCAGGGCACTGGCCTAGAAGCAGGTGAGTCTGGAAGAGGGTTGGATCCAATGCAAGAAGCACCGGGCACTCCTGCGGATTGGCCACTGGAATTTGAGAGGCTGCAGAGAGCCATAGTCGAACTTTGGAAAGCTTGCCATGTTTCCTTGGTTCACAGAACATATTTCTTCCTCCTATTTAAAGGTGATCGAACTGATTCAATTTACATGGAGGTGGAGCTTAGGAGACTTACCTTCCTCGAGGAAACATTTTCTCAGGGAAATCAAGCTGTAGAAGATGGTCACACTCTCACACTGGCTTCGAGGTTCTCTCTCTCTCTCTCTTGCAACCAATGATTGTCTAATGACCTTTGAACGGCATATCTGCAAAGTGTGTTTTAGTTCTCATTTAGTTTTTATCACTGGTTTGAAGCTTTTTTTTTTTTGTAACACCGATACTGTTTTATGTTTACTCTCTTCTAATCTGTTAACTTGTCGACAGTGTGAGAGCTCTTCGCCGTGAGAGGCAGTCCTTGGCCAAACTGATGCGGAAAAGGTTTTCAGAAGAAGAAAGAAAGGACCTATATCAGAAGTGGGGCATTAAGTTGAACTCGCAGCAGAGAAGGCTGAATCAGCTGTGGAGCAATGACAAGAATATGAATCACGTCACGGAGAGTGCTGCCGTTGTCGCGAAGCTGATCAGGTTCGTAGAGCAGGGACATGCCCTCAAGGAAATGCTCGGGCTTAGCTTTACTCCACCGCAGACCAGACGGAGATACTTTAGTTGGAAAAACAGCATGGCATCCCTTATATGAACCTGCACACAGCCATAGAGGTAATTTCTTGAAAGTCATATGCCATGATGTAGCATTGTTGTAGTGATTGAAATTTTTATCAGATCGCAATGACCATCAGATAGAATGGTGTATGAATGTAAATCTTAAGCCAAAAACTGGCTTGATGAAATTGCCCGCGGTGGATTCGGGTTTTGGGTGTATTTATTTGGATAAAATATTTTCCCTCAATTTTATGATATCATCGTTATGGTTGTTCATCGTTTCTATTCCATTCATCAGGATATTCAATATAAAATCGAACAGTTAAATGATCACTCTAATACTATTTATCATAAGATCATTACTTTCTTCTTAATAGGCATGTTATATTGATAAAATGTCAAATATAATATTTATATATATATTTTAATAATTTGGGTTATTACAATTTATAAGATAGTATATGTTTATAATTTTTTTTAATCATTATCAAAGTACACACCCTTTCAGATATAACCGTTCAAACCTATGATCTTAAGAAAATATAATACTCCTTTTAATCATTAAAATCATTTAATAAATTCTGATATATATACTTTTTAAAGTACAATGTAATACGTTTACTTTGATAAAATATTTAATATCCCATTTAAATTATTATTATTATTATTATTATGATATTTATAAATTTTCGTTAATTCATTTGACTCTTAATAATAGTGTTGACCTATGTACCACAATAATACAAGAAATGTTACTTTAAATATTGTATTGGATATTTTAACAAATTAAGTATCACTTTAAATATTTTAAAAAATTAAGTACTATATTATATATTTAATTAAAATATAAATATCATATTTAAATTTTTTAATATATTAGATATTTTATAACAAAACTATACTATATTAGACATTTTATTAGTACGTATCACATCAGATATTATTAAAGTCTGTGATAATATATCTAAAAGTTAAAACTTTGGTTGAAAGATGAAAGAGGATAAAACGGTGTCGTTTCGTCTTCAACAGGTCCGTGTCTACATTAACACTTCCCTATCTGACTGAGCTGAAGCCGAGTGGGGTAAAGGAGACACAGAGAGATAGAGAGAAGAGTGTAGTCTAAGAGAAACCAAACGCAAAAATAAAAAAAAAAAGCAACCGAAATGAGCGGAGCCACGACGGCGGTGTATTTAGCTCGAAGAGCGGCGCAAAAGGAGAGGGTCCGGATCCTCTACCGCTGTGCCCTCAAAGACACCCTCAACTGGGCCGTCCATCGCCATATCTTCTATCAAGATGCAACTCCTCTAAATTTCTCAGTCTTATTTTAAATTCAATTGAATCTCTATTTTTATTTTATTTTATTTTATTTTATTTCTTCTCTATGTTTAGGCCTCTGACCTTCGCGAGAAATTCGAAGCCAACAAGCATGTGGTTCGTCCTCGTTTCTCATCTTCACTTCAAATTTATTTTATAGTAATCTTGAACGAGTATTCGTTCTTAAATTTTCTTTTTACCGCTTAGTGATTTGCTAAGTTCCCAGTTTTTTTGTTTCTATGATGATAATTTGAGCTTATTGACCTTCTGCATTGAACCTATCAAGGAGTAAGGACTTTGTAAATGGTGATTATCGTAGTTGAATGGTTTAATTTGCGACTTTTTTTGGTTTTGCATTTTACAATGTGGTTTGTTTTTGCAGGAAGATCTTGACACAATTGACAAAATGATAGCTGCAGGTGAAGCAACTTATGATAAGTGGAGGCATCCTGATCCTTATATAGGTACGCCTAAGAGACATGGTTATTATATGAAGGGAGAGTTATGAATTGGATTTTGAATTTTATATCCTGTCTCAATAATCGTTGTGTGGAAGGGATTTGTAAGTTGTTTTGAACCTTTATTTTCAAACAATTGAGAGGTGATTAGCTCAAAATTTTGATAAGGAGAATGAAATCTTGATGGTAAATAATTAGTTATTATAGGATTTCAGTTTCTGGTGATTGTTTGATGATTCAAGTGGACTTTCAATTATTGTGTGAAATGAGACAAGTGAGGGCCACGTTTGCAGAAGTAGTTGAAGATATATATGCTACCAAACTATTACTATGTCAATTCACTTCTCATGGCTTTGTTGCATCGCTTTTCCACTTACCAGACCATTACTATATTAATTCGACTCTTCTATTTGTAAGTGAATTTTTCATTTCATAAGTTCATTTGAACATTTTTTTCTTCTAACAATTGAGAGGAGAATAGCTCAAAATTTTGAAAGTTGAACGAAATCTCGTCAATAACTAATTAGTTATTATAGGATTTCGTTTTCTTCTCAGATGATGATAGTTTGATGATACCAGTGAAATTGATTGTGTGAAACAAGACAAATGAGAGCCAAGGTTTGCAGTAGTAGGTGAAGAGAAATGCTACCACACTACTACTATGTCAATTCACTTCTCATTGCTTAGTGGAATCTCTTTTCCACTTACATTCTTGTGTTTGTTCCACCAATAGTTGGTTATTGACGATTACGTCTCGCTTTTTGTTATGACATGTGACTGATTGACTGTGATATAATATAGGTAGGTTTCTTATCTGGTGCTTAGTTTCCTGTTTAAAACCTATTATGCTGTTTGAAGCTCACATATTAAGTTCATTTGCAGTTCCTTGGGCTCCTGGCGGTTCCAAGTTTACTCGAAACCCTTTCCCACCTTCTGGGGTAAGTGTTAATTTAACATTTCTTTATTGCATTTCATGCATTCTGACATGCCTCTTGGCTGTTGTTATTCACTGTTCATATTGTTTATCAACCCATTATACAAATTATATTGCAGATTAGAAGAAGAAAGCTAGTAAAAGTAATTAGTGCTATTTTTCTTTTCTTGTTTTACTACTTGATAGCAGATAGTTTGGTTATTTCTTCCTTTTGGTAGGTTTTATCTTTAACTTGATCGAGCATTAAAATTTTATGTATTTTGCTGGAGAAAGGTGGGGTGAAGTGAAAAGTCTTCTTGTTTTGTAATATGCTTGCAACCTCCTAATATATGCCACACTGTGTTGTTTTGATTTGTTGCTTACCTAGATCATTTGTGTTCTATCAGAGTATTGTTACTAAATTTCTGATTGGCCATGTTGCTTTTATCCGGTTCTGATTGTTCACTCTTGATGCAGATTGAGATTGTGTATGATTATGGTCGAGAAGAGAATGATTAAGACATCCATCTTTTCATATCCCAAGCAATAAAGGTTAGCCATATACTTCATTTAGATTTTTTTCTTTTTTCAATAAGGGGTAGGGGTTGTTCATGGATTGAACCCGGGATTGGTGTCACTGAACAGGTCCTTTCCTACTCCACCTGTAGTTCAATCAACTTACTTTATTTAGATTTACATCATTCGTTGTATAATTTCCTTAGAAAAGTTTTGGTTTGCCTCAAATAACTTCCTACTATGGTTGGAAGCAGTTCCCTTGAAAGTTTAGTTGCAAAAATCTCTTGGATTTGTGCACAAAATGCATTTTTATGTCAAGATCTCAGCTTCTCTTGGCACGTTGTAAGTTTGAAATTGCATGACTAAACTCTAAAGAGGGTTTCTTTCTCTCTTTGTTAGGCTAGGGAGATTTCACTGTTGGAAGTAATAAAAGTTATTTTTTTTCAATTCTAGCTGGCATTATTGTAGTTTATTTAGGAAGTGATTAATGTGTTATTCCATTGAATTGAATTTATGGCCATGGGATAATTCTACATGTTCGTCTCTTCTAAATTCGAATGCCTTTTGCACTAAGGTCCGAATCCTTCCAAAGCGTTCTCTTTACTTGAAAATCTTATACGGAATCACAGAGGCGGTGATAGAGAGAGCCTCCCTTGCCTGCTCTGCCCATTTGGTTTAACTTAAATGTTGAAACTCTTAATTTTCGGTTGATGCAGGTCTAATGGATCCTTGAGTGTGTAACAAGGGATCTTGGACAGCGACTACTTTCCAATCTTTCAACTGAGATAAGACTTCTATTAACATTCATGTTGATATTTCTTTGTGTCTGGTCTTTTGTGTAATAAAAGATCACTGGTCGGAATATAGGTACTAGAATGCTTGTTGACTTGGTACAGAATTACAATCTTTAATCTTTCTTCTGACAAACTATTTTTCTTTAAATTATATATGCCGTTGTTCGTCATTCCGACTACTATGTTAGAATGTTAGTTGGCAATTGAACCTGAGGAGGTATTTGGGTCTGAGAACTGGTTCCCTTCACAAATAGGACCAAAAAAGAAACCGGCTTTAGTCACGGTTGTTATGTAATTGCCTTAGTGTTTTACTTGACATTGTTATATATACCCTGTATTAAGAGCAATCCCCTAAAAGGATAGGAATGGTGAATTTGGGATTTGGAAGTAATCCCTTCTTCACCTACTATATCATAAACTGTAATTTTAGGGGTAATTGTGGAAATTGAAATAGGCTCTTTATCATCAAATTCAATGCAAACACTTCTATCATAACCTTGCAGCTAGAGCTGGGTATATGGGCTAAGGCCCGCGGGCTACCCGTTTAACCCGCGGCTCGTGCGGGCTTCGAGCCTCAAACGCTAAAGCTCGTTTAAATTGCGGGCTTTTTAGTCTTGACCGTTAAACCCGCGGGTTTAATGGGTATAACCGCAGGTAGCCCGCTTAATTTAAAATTTATAAAATTTTAGAGAAAATAAACTTAAAGAATTTTATAGAAAAAGAAAATAAATTACCTATAAATATGATGTTACTTATAACCATTGTAGTTCTTAAATTTATTAGGGCGTTTGGTATAATTCTACCGTTGTTTGATATTTTTTATTCATTTACAATGTATCAAATTATTTTTCATTTTAAAAAATAAAAATTAAAAGATTTATATAATATTTTAGTCTTAGAAAATTTACATCGTTATCACTTTGATATTTAAAGATTTTTTTATTTAATTTTGACCTTTATTTTTTTCATGAAGTATGTTATCAATTTCGTTCTTTAATTATAAAAAATCACATGATATTATAATAGTATATCACATGACACGTACTATTTGGATTAAAAATAAAAAAGAAAAGTAAAAGAAAAAATTGAAAATATACTTTTCAAAATTGAAAATATATTTTTCAACTTTTAAAGACTTTTAAAGGCATTTACAAAATAAATATATATTAATAAATTAATGACTTATATTTTATCAATTTTAATATAACCATATTTTTCAAATTTACTTTTATACTATAAGTATTTTATTTTATATTTTCATATTATGTTTTATTCTTTCTCTAAAGTATCTATAAAATACAATTATTATGACCACTTGACAACTTTCTTGTTAGATTTGTATAATGTTTGATTTTGTTGAATTTTTATGTTTGAATTTCTGTTTGGATACACTTCTGTGTCTTCATATTATAGCCTTGAATAATTGTGTTTTATAAAAGTATAATGTGTTTATTGTTTTATTTGTTTTTCAATTTGATGATATAAGTGAATATTGTTTTTTTTTAAATTTGAGTTTAAGTAATTATATCGTTATATATATATATATATTAATGATTAAAAAAATTTAAAAAATATTATTTTATAATCATTTCCAGCTATTTAAAATAAAATTTAAATATTATTTATTATTTTGACGGTGCTATATTATTTTTCAAGGTGCTAGATCATTTTTAAAGGTGTAGCAAGTTATAACATTATTTTTTATTGCATTTAAAGTATTTAAATTATTGTTATTTAACGGGCCGCGGGTAAGCCCGTTTAGCCCGCGGGTTAAATGAACGGACCACAGGTCTTAAAATTCAAAACCGTTTATAAATGCGGACTTTTTAAATCGCTCCGTTTAAGTTCCATTTAAGCCCGCACTATCAAAATCCGCAGGCTAAACGGGCGGGTAGCCCGTATACCTATCTCTACTTGCAGCATCTGGGGCTTGGCTATGGCAAGGGATAATTATATTTACTTTTCCTGCATAAATCAACAATACCACTTGTTTTAAACACAAAAACCAAGCTAATGAAACCAAATTCACATCACAAAAAATAACTAATACTTCTTTGCAATAAAAATGGATATATTGATAAACTTGACCCTGAATTTTTTTTCAATTTGACTCTTATTATGTTTTGCATAAAATTTGACTTATAATATTTTTTTTATAAATAACTTTGATTTTTTTTAGAGAAATTATTTGATACAGAGATTGTATATAATTTAGACTCTTTTATTTAAATGTTATTTGACATATTTAAATGATCATAAATTTTAAATCTTAAGTTAAAATCCTAAAACTTATAATCCTGAATCTTAAATAAAAAATGACATAAATATAATAGTAATTGTAGAATATCAATATCTCAATTGTCTGTTATCAGTATATATATATCAAATAATATTTTTGTTGATTCATATTATTTTTATTTGAATGTTAAAATTTGAAACATGAAATGGATAAAATTCATTGAATTGTATAAAATTATTTATATTTAATATATAATTTTAAAAATTCATCTAATAGGAAAAATAATAATATATAAACCCGCCACAATTAGCGACTTACCTTACTCGGTTATTCCTCCATAATGGCGGCTTTTTCATTCCCGCCCTCCGCCCTTATGGCGCTTAATCCCAGACTTCATATCTTCAAAGCCTTTACGTGATCTCGATCGCCCTTCAAGCTAGGGATTCAAATAGTAGTTGAGTAACGAAATAACGATTGTTATACAACGATAATGATGGTGTCTGAAACTATTATTCCAAAAAATAATGAAATCACATCAGATATATTGCAGTTATAATTAGGGGTGTTCAAATTTTCGAATTAATTCGGTTAACCGAGCGAACCGAATTAATTCGGTCGGCCACCGAATTAGTTCGGATAGTTAACGGTTAAGATTTTTTTTTGGAATTCGGTTAACGGTTAATTCGGTTCGAAATCGATTAATTAACCGAATTAACCCTTAAATATTTCTTAATATTTTTTCACCTCATAATATGTTGCCCCCACTTCATTTATTTTAGAGAAAATAACCTCAGTGACCAAAAATGCATTATAATATACGATTTTAACCAACTTTTTTTGGATTTGCCAAAATGACCAACTAAATCGCAATGCGATCGATAATTCGCAACGCGAACTCCTGTATCACAAATCAGTTTCCAAATTCGCAACGCGATTCTGACTATCGCATTGCGATTTTCCAAATTCGCGTTGCGATTTTCCTAATTCGCAATGCGAATACGTAAATCGCAATGCGAATACGTAAATCGCAATGTGAATATGTAAATCGCAACGCGAATCTGACTATCGCAATGCGATTTACATAGCGCCATTCGTATCGCAACGCGTATTTTTTTTCAAATTCCAAACACGAATATATTAATATATCCGAACACTGAACCGTCCATAGTATATCCTGTAATCGTAACTCATAACCTAAAACCCTAAATCATAACTCAGTCTCATTTCCATCTCTCACTCTCTAAGGCGACATCCGTCCCCATCTCCGACGAAATCAGTCCACATCTCCGACGATATCAATCTCCATCTCGGCGAAATCATTCACGGTCAGAAATGGAAAATCAACCAAATCAACCACCGAGGGTTAGTTTTTTTAATTATTTTTATTTTGAAAATTTTGCATTATTATTAGGTTTTTCATATTGAAATTGATGATAAGTTTACTGGTGTTTTTAATAATAGATTAACCATTTCACTTATATTGCTTATTAAATTCATTCGATTGCTGCCAATACTGCTAAACTGTTTAGTCTTTAACCCTGTGAAGTTAGTATTTGTCTTTGTTTTGTCTTTTGGTTGAAGTAATGCAATCCATTCAAGTTTCTTTCAATTTTAGTATTTGAAACCGAGAATGACTATCGCAATGCGATTCTGTCGTTGCGATTTTCATTTCGCGTTGCGATAGTTAAATTCGCGTTACGATTGTCATTTTCGTGTTGCGATTTTCATTTCGCGTTGCGATTCTTGCGTTGCGATAGTCATTTTCGTGTTGCGATTTTAAGTTTCAGAAACTATTCTTCTTCTGCAAATTGAAACTTGAATGAATTGCATTACTTCAACCAAAAAACAAATACAAATATTAAATTCACAGTGTTGCAAATTTAAGTTTGAAGAATAAACTACTACTCTTTATGTTTATTGTTCTTGTTATATCTTCACAGTGTAGTTTTTGGTATATCTAACTTGGTATGTTTATTGTTTTTGTAGAACTTTTATTCGGCTCAATTGACCTTAAGAAATAAAGTAAGCCTGGCCAAAACAATTGCGTCGAAGCTTTCACCTGCATAAAAAAAATATTTGAGGATACTTGCTTCGGGCCATGGCTGAAAGTACAACATCCGGGTGAAGATGCTATGTTGACCCATCTGTTTCTTCAAACCATGACTAGCGATCTACCAGAGACTATACAACGTCGTGATGAAGAGATATGGTTTGATTTTCCACCGGCGTATACGTGTTTTGGGCGGGAGGAGTTTTGCTTAATCACCGGTCTACGCTTCGGACACGATGATGTAGATCGGTATACTAGACATATTACCCGCCTATCATAGTTTTCCCGGGTTTTTCCTGAGCTGTCAATGGAGAAGCCGAATTTACACGTGGAAGACTTGACGAGATTATTGAATAAGAAAGATGGTTTTACTTGGATGGATGATGTCGATGTTGTCCGAGTATGCCTTCTAATACTTTTGCAAGCCGGCTTTTTAGGCAGAGAGGCCCGACAACCTATTTCTAATGATATAATTAAATTGGTAGAGGACCTAAATGCATGGAACATGTTTCCGTGGGGTTCGTATCTATGGAAAGCTACATGGAATAAGTTGTCGTCTGCCTTTGATGATCGAAAAAATTTGCGTGGCGATGGTTCCAAATACACTTTGTCAGGCTTTATTTGGGCCTTTAAGGTAATAATTTTTATATAATGTTTCCATAATGTTTGTTATTATATTGTTTGTAGATTTGGATATTTGAAGTCTTTCTCGCCATGCAGACATATGCATTAAAAACTTCTAATGATATTCCTAAGGCTATTTCCTGGAAGAGGAAACGGTCCTTGTAGCAATGGGAAGATTTACTACCGTATACTACAATAAATAATGTAAGTTAACACAAATACTACCATATGTTTATAAACAAGTTATTACTAGTACA